CTCTCTCTCTCTCTCTCTCTCTCTCTCTCTCTCTCTCTCTCTCTCTCTCTCTCTCTCTCTCTCTCTTCTCGCACTGTAGAAATGCTGGAAACATTTTCTATCAGGGCCGCTGGTCTCACTTTACCAAGCTACGGGCTGTACCCACTGTGGGCCCCCATGGGCCTCTAAACTTCCTGGTAGCCTGAGCCTGCAACCGCAGGGCTTGATTGGTTGTCTTTTTAGATCATTCTGATGGACCCTGCAGGACAGTATGACACACGGAAATAAACAAACTGCAAACTCTTTGTCTGTTTGTCTGTCTGCCCGTCTGCATGTCAGTGCCTGTCACAATGTCCCCATCACTATGGCTACTGTCCCCTCATCAGAATGTTCAGTTCTTCGGTTTTTTTCTGTTTCCAGCTTTAGAAGCCACAACTTTTCTTTTTCTTGTTTGTCGTGGCTGCAACTGCGGCGTCTTCGGCGCATTTGAAGGACCTGTGGCGGCTGATGAGTCCTTTCTCCGTTGCTGGAGGTCCTTTTTCTTCGATGTTGGGACATTTTTCTTCCGCGGTGGGTCCTCTTTGGCCATCTGCGTGCTGTCTATCTGGTTTCGTCCAGGACCCTCTGTTTTTTGCTGCACTGGATCATCCTTCTTTTCTCTCTGACGCGGGATCTTGCCTGTGCCGTAGTCACATGTCCCCTTCTTTAATTCAATCACCAGCTGCATATCCCTCTTCATGATAGTCACTCTCTTCGAATGGATAGCAACCTGGTTTGTCATATTCAACACGTGTACGACGTAGGCCTCGGCTTCCTCTTGCAACGCCTTGAGAGCAAGAAGTGACATTCTTGTTGGCCCTGGCAGATGACTAGTTTCTTCTCCCCATTCCGTCCTTCATTTGTCATCTTCCAGTATTTCCATGACGAACCGTGTGATTGGAGCAAAAGGAATTAGTCTTTCAGTTGACTTCTGCATTTTGCGAATATCTCGAAGTGCAACTGTCCCTCGCCCGAACTTCCAACGCCTTGCAGTCCCTCCATCAACGTTTCCTTTCTCTTTCCTCCCTTTCCTCTTTGACACGTTCTCACCTGCACTCCCTTTCCTCTTCGCCCTTTGTTCCCCTGCATGGTTGACCTCAACAGCCTTCTCGCTGACATTACCATTCCTTGCATGTTCTTTCTTCTTCAACTGTCGAATTGCCTCGAGTGGAGACTGCTCGCTCATCAACGGATCGTCATCTCTCTCTCTCTCTCTGGCACACCTGGTGTGTCGTCCTCATACTCTGACCCACCACCAACTTCCTGCTCTGCGTCCTCTTGCTCTGCAGAAACTGCATGGTCTCTTGCCTCGCCTCCACTCAACATGCAATGACGCAATAAACCCCCTTCATAAACCAGGTCGAAAGGAACTCCCAATGGATCCTTAAAAGTAACATGCACAGGACTGTTATCCATATGTTCCTCTTTCCAAATGACCGGCACCCCTCCCAGAAGAGCTAAAGAATGAAAATGCTCATGCAGATCATCCAAAAATTGAAATGTGACATCCTTGTCACTGTCATCCTCACCATCATCACCCGCGCCGACAAGCCACATTCCTCTCTTTGCTGTAGAATCATATCCACAAACGATCATCTGTCTGTCATCCTCGTCGATAGACCGCCATATCTGTTGTGCATGATCGTGCAATACCTTCTTATCCAGTATGTCAGGATTCCACAACGATACCCTGACAAGCACAACCATGAATTGCCAATGAGATACAAGTCCCTTCTTCATGAACCCCAAACACAGCCAGTGGCCTGAAGGAGCTTTTGCTGCCATCGACAACTTCCCTTGCCAATATCCCGGCTGCAACACATTGACAATCCAATTCACAAGATACCCCACCTGGTTTGAGGCTGCACACATCGCTGAATCAGGTGTCGTCACCAATGTGTGAGTCATATTATACCGACATATGTTTTTTTCTTTGTGGATATATGGATTCCATATATCCTCCCATACATCAGTGCACCTTTCCATCGTGCCCTGCTTGTTTGTGAGACACACATTCACCTCCCCATAAAACGTATGGCCATCCGAAAACTCGAGTGCAACAGGATTGTTGAGAGGAACGCTACTATCCACGTTATTCTCATTTTTCACCCCCCTCTCACAGTCAAAAGTCTGAAGAGTGAATTTTTCATTCACATACTACACAAGCCACCAGTTCCCCATCATGTCTTGCCGCCTCACTCGCACAACATCAGTTGTTGCAGGGATCGTGAGCGGCATTCACCCCCAACGAGGGTCTCTGCTGGGATCATCGTGAGAACAAGTCTCTGGTCTCATATCTCCACCATTGACAACCCACGAAACTGGATACTCCATGTTGTCGTACAAAAAGTCATTCAATCATAGTTCTTTTTTGTCCTTCAAAAGTTCATGGATGGTGAAGGAATAAAGTGTGAGGGCATCTCTGGGAACAGATGGATTCAGCCTTGACACTTGTTCCTCTATAATTGTCAGAGTGAAATGATCCCATACCTGAGGATGTGGTGCCTCCACAGGGATCCATGTGTAATTGCAATTCACAGCAAAGCAATGTTTCCCGCGAAACAATCCCGGTTGGACAACATTAGGTTCCCACCTCACAACGTACGCAAAAAACTGACCATCCTCAGTCAATGTTAGACATTTGTCGTCGACATGACACTCGCATTCCCCTTCATTATTAACATGATCCTCCCTCGTTGGTTTTTTGCCATGACCACGCCGACCTCCATCCATATCGTCATCCTCCTTGTTGTGAGCATGAAACACCTCTTCGTTGTGTGTTTCACAGTGCCCTCTTTCTGTCTCTCCTTCCCCAATGTCTGCCATGCCACGAACAAGATCTTCGGTAGCAACATACGTTGTTTCTCCACCTCCGGAATCCATCTGTGGAAGGGATGCCATCTACACGATCCACAATCGCAACTTACATGAGATTGTAGAATGCTCACATACACACATATTGTCAAACACAGATGTATGCACCTCCTCGCCGGTAAAACACATTTTCAAACAAACAAATAGGATTTAGATACTAGACTCTTTCAAAAGTCATTGACATACAATCTGACATTTTCTATACATGTTTCCCAACTGTTCTCGGGCCAGTTCAAGACTTTCACAATGACAGCAGTTGGTCGTCACTCTCGTCCTCTGGGCTCGAGCACTGAAAACTGTGGTTGCTTCTCTCATCAAAGATATCATGTGAGACATTACATCGATGACAAGTCTTTTGACATCCCGCATATTTGCAGCGGCGACATGTGCTGCGAAAACATCTGTTGTGATCAGTACCGTGGTGTTTGGCATGTCGAAAGAAGGTGTTTTTCGAGCCATAATACATGAAAAATTATGGCGCTCCTGTAATGAAGTCAAACGTGTGAAATCTTCGCATGTGAAGATTGCATGCGCAGGGGATGTAGACCGTGTATCCACATCCGTATGTACTCCTCTATGCAACACATATGAGTTTCTATCATGACCTTTCACATTTTCTTTTTGTCTACTTTCGTGATTTGTTGAAGTCTCCGGCTTATCGTGCAACTTGAAATTCCCACACTCAATCCTACTGCGAAAATACGAAGTGGAATCCATAATATCTATGCAGCTCGACAACAGAGAACGAATGTTTTCCATGCTCACATGTCGACCACTCAACGATGAACGATGATCAGTATCATTTTCGTAATGATGATGTATAGTCTCCGAACAATGTCACAGACAATCCTCTGTAAAGTACAAAAGCTCGTGCAAATTTTGTACATCCCCCGTAACCTTGTCAATCGAAATTTGTGTTTGGCTTGTATGTTCGGCCCAACCTTGCACAAGAACGCACTTGTGTGTATGCACACAAGGTTGGACATCCCACGAATCGTCTCCATCTCCGACCCTTGTCTCCATACATGTGTTGTGTTGGCGTTTGTGGRSMYTCYTGTTTCRTGGCTCTGACRTGTAATRTGATTCGACTTCCTTCAGTCGAAACGTTACATCCGCAAGGCGCGCCTCTAGAATTTCTATTCTCTTGTGTGATGCGCTCTCCTCCTCTCTCAATCGTTGTATCTCTAAATTACATTTCATAAGTTGTTTAGTTTTTTCGACGACTTCATGCTCTAATTTCCGTACATCATCTTTCGATTCATTCAAAAGAGCGGACAACAATAGCCCCTCCGCATACCACTTCTCGATGTAAGTCTCTCCTCCGACCATTGCCACCAATACTTTCGCCCGTGGGACAGGGGGGAGGACACCAGGATCTACCCTTGTGCTCGCTGCCTGTTGGGCAGTTGCTCTGTCCCTCGATATGTTATGCCCATCTCCACTTCCTAAATGTGCGTTTCTATCCATCATCTCTGACGTATTCATGACAAATGTGGCACCTCGAAAATGAGTATCCTTGAACACCTACGTCCCACTCCTCTGATCTTACGTCAGCATCACATGTTAACCGTCGTCGTTGTGGTCATCGACTACGAAAAAAACTTCGTAGGATTGTCATTCTGTGAGATCGTCATGACAAAAATAAATAAGCAATTATTACTTCCTGCACAGTGTTAAATCATCTCTACAAAATGATAGAAGGAGGTGACCTCCAGACGAACAGATAAGTACTCACTCATCCGGTCCAGAGACTCACAATAACATTAACACATGTGACACATCGACAAGGGAACACACACATAGATCAAAGGTTTGCGTCGGACGTCGTAGTTGAGGTTAAATGGGCGAAAGGTTGTGCAAAGAAGAACGGCGCACCTGCTGCCCACAACGATAGAATCCTATGTACTACACCTTTCGACCGTCATCGGTTGCTCCTGTCTCAACGGATGCTGACTCACTTGCGACCTGGTAGTTGAGGGCAAATGGACCCACTTCCCTTTGTAAGGAACCCGGATCGGCAGGTGCGCTATCTTCTGACGTGCAAGGGGAAGGTTGTGCAGAATAGAACGGCGCACCTGCCGACCATAACGATGCAATCCTATTTACTGCACCTTTCGTCCGTCATCGCTAGGTCCCGTCTCAACGAATGTTGACTCACCTGCGAAGAGGTAGTTGACGACGAATGGGTCCACTTCCCTTTACAAGGAATCCGGGTCGGCAGGTGCGCTGTCTTTTGACGTGCAAGCGAAAGGTTGTGCATAAGAGAACGGCGCACCTGCCGACCACTACGATATAATCCTAGTCACTGCGCACCGGACCGTCTTATATTGGTTATGACTCAACGGATGGTGACTCGCTTGTCACCTGGTAGTTGAGGGTGAATGGACCCGCTTCCCTTTGCCTGTATCGCGGGTCGGCAGGTGCGCTGTCTTCTGACGTGCAAGGGGAAGGTTGTACAGAATAGAACGGCGCACCTGCCGACCACAACGATGCAATCCTATTTACTGCACCTTTCGCCCGTCTTCGCTAGGTCCCGTCTCAACGAATGGTGACTCACCTACGAAGAGGTAGTTGACGGCGAATGGGTCCACTTCCCTTTACAAGGAACCAGGGTCGGCAGGTGCGCCGTCTTTTGACGTCCAACCGAAAGTTTGTCCAAAAGAGAACGGCGCACCTGCCGACCACAACGATATAATCCTATTTACTGTACCTTTCGAACAACTTCGATTGGTCCCGTCTCATACGAACGCTGACTCACTTGCGAAGAGGTATTTCACGGCGAATGGGTCCACTTCGCTTTACAAGGAACCCTGGTCCGCAGGTGGGCTGTCTTTTTACGTGCAAGCGAAAGGTTGTGCAAAAGAGAACGGCGCACCTGCCGACCACTACGATGTAATCCTATTTACTGCACCTTTCTCCCGTCATATATTGGTTATGGCTCAGCGGATGGTGACTCAGTTGCAACCTGGTAGTTGAGCGTTAATGGACCCACTTCCCTTTGCAAGGATCGCGGGTCGGCAGGTGCGCTGTCTTTTGACGTGCAAGCGAAAGGTTGTGCAAAAGAGAACGGCGCACCTGCCGACCACTACGATATAATCCTATAATTTCACCATTCGCCCGTTATATATTGGTCTTGTCTCAACGGATGCTGAGAAACTTGCGACCTGGTTGAACGAGGCCAAATGGGCCCACTCGACGGAGAACGAAGAGGTGGATGTGGCAACCGAAACCGACCACAGGCAGCAACTGGTCTGTTGGTGATTCAATAATAATGACTTTGCTTCATACAATATTTTTTAAGATATTCTCCAGCGTTAATTTAGCATATGCGTAATTTTGCGGTGCTCGAATTCCATTAGTTTTTTTTTGGCGGTTTTCTGTTCGTTTTATTTGGGGTAAAACATCAATCACCTCTTGTTAATCGGAACATGTCAACCATCACACTGTCAGACCATCACTTTCCCTTTCACTGTATTTCTGGATCGGAGAGCGATGTCATAATGCAGCTTGTACTTCGTCTACCGTCATTAATGAATGAACCTGCAATTACACATACGCACTCACCCACCTATAGGGAGAAGCAACAGCTTGGTAGATGAGTCATTTCTTTGCAAGGGAAAATCGGTACTCGAAGATTGAAAAAGTATGAAAACTTACCCGTGTACGCATACGACAGTACAAGTCGGTGAGATGAAAGTCGAAAGACGGCCCAGCTTTGCGAAATTCACGACCAGTCTACCATCCACCGCGTGCCTGCAACACACGTATTATAACACCAAGTTACTTACTACATACACACTAAAAGAACAAAAAAATTAAAAGAAAATTGTAAGGACGAGAAAGGAGAAAGAAGGCAAGATGACACATTTGTTTGTGTGCCGCCGAGATCACACATTTGCATTCTCAAGTTCACATTCACAAGAAAATAAAAAAACAAAACAAAAACAGGAAAAATAAAAAATTCAAATTCAAAGAATAGGAGAGAGGAGAACAACGAGAATCAAGGTGGAGGAGAAATGAGGAGGACAATCGAGAAACGAGGAGGACAAAGGAAGAGGAGAAAGGAGGGGAGGATAATGGAGCACGAGGAGAAAGGAGGAGGAGACATGGGGAGGAGGGGGGGAGGACCACCTCCTCCTCGTCTAGGCTGATGTAATCTGATCACATCCGATGGTGTAAGAGGTGATGTAGTCTGATCAGCTCTGATTAGCTCACATCTGATAAGATCTGCTCTGATCAGCCCTGATCAGATCTGATCTGATCAAATCTCGTCTGATTAGATCTGATCACATCTGGTCTGATCAGATCTGATCATATCTGGTTTGATCAGATCTGATCAGACCTGATCAGATCTGATCAGATATGGTCAGGTCTGATCAAATATGATCAGATATGATCACATCTGATCAGATCTGATCATATCTGATCATATCCGATTAGATATGATCAGATCTGATCAGATATGATCACTGTTACGATCCTGGTCATATCCAAAGTGCAAACTCACAATGAAAGATAATGTCACCCAATTGCAAAGAAATGAAAGCACTTGCACAGAGATGAAGACCAAAAAAGAAGAAGAAGAAGAAGAAGAAGAAAAAGAAAAAGAAAAAGAAAAAGAAAAAGAAGTACACCAGCAAGACCAATGACAAATCTCCCTTCTCTCTCCACCTTCCTCCTCCTCCCTCTTTTCAACAATCTTGTCTATTTTTCAATTAATAATAACAACAATGAATGAATGACCCAGAACCAATAGCCGAAGTTCGTCCTTACTGCTGACATGAACATGGTTCCACCATAGCCATGGCAACCCGACTTCTTCCACCTCTCAAGCGCCTACGCTATGGCGGACTACTAGGTCCCAGTCCTGATGCCAAAGGACACAGTGRGCAGCTRTRGAGCTGCCTGGCGACCGGGACGTGCAAAGGACAACTCAAAACAGCTATGGCGCTGCCCARCACACAGCAACCGGTACTTCCTCCGTTTCGGAGGGAAACATCATTGCAGACTCTGATATTGCCCGTACAGGCTCTAGACTCAGACTGGCACCGGCGTAGACCTACCCTACCGCTACTGGACTCCAAAAATGCCAACTTTGTCTTTTCTCCTCGGCCT